TACATATCTATATGCATGCATTTATAGGCTCAGTTTTAAAAACCCGAAAAACTGGACAATCTTTTATTAGCATATCTAAATTATATCATAACCTACAAATAATTAAAATTATATATAAAAATCATGCAGTTACTTTTTTTGCAGTTACTTTTTTAAAACTGCCATTAATATTGTGGAACTACAGTATTTTTGAAACATTGTGTTTTCATTAACTCTTTTAGCTGTTTGTGAATTTTAAAAATTCATAAAATGAGTAATTAAGATTGTTCCTTGGCATTTCCATTCTGTGTTTAAGATTATTGAGAGACATCATTGTAGTTCAAAATTTTCTTTTCAATTTTATAGCATCATTTTTAATTGAAGTTGATTTTTAAATTTTGATAAATTATACATAACTGAAAATTTGCCACTTTCACTATTTCTAATGGTACAGTTCCATGATACTAAGTACATTCAAATTGTTGGACAACCATCCCCACTATACATTTCCAGAACTTTTTTCATCTTGTAAAACTGAACCTTTGGTCACCTTAAATAATAATACCTTAACCTCTCTTCCTCCCAGCCCCTGGCAACCACCATTCTTCTTTCTATAGTAATTAATTTGACTCAGTGCATAACAGAAGTAGAACTAAACAATCATTACCCTTTTGTGTCTGGCTTATTTCACATAGTATAACATCTAACCCTTGTTTTAATGTTACAATATTAAATAAATTTGAAAATGCTTAAAAAATTGATATACTTAATACAGATCTTTCCAAGATGCTCAGGAACACACACTATACCATGCTTAATTACCTCTTGATATCACAAAATCGATTATTATTTGACATTTCAAGACATATGTGTATGTTTAATAAGAGGTGCAATCTCACCTCTGAAGTTTACATGTTTTTAATTGTTATATCACCAGCAGATTGACAGTATGTCACCTTACATAGTGTGAGTTTAAATTTTTCCAAGTACAAATGTCAATTTGAGAGAGAAACATTTTCCATATCTGATAGATATTAAACTACAAGGAAACAGTTTATTATAAATGCAGAATAAAATGGCAACGGTGTTTTTAAACTAATATTTTCTTTTACTATTTGCAAGTCAATTAAACCTTTGACCCATTCAATGATTAAAATTATATATATATATATATATATATATATATATATATATATATATATATATATATATAATTTTTAAAATCCCTCTTTGCATCACAAGCTGCAGATGCTCCCATACATCTTGAGCCACCTTTCCCTCTGTTAGTCTGTGGAGAAAAGATGGGCGATATATATATATAATCAGATTCTTACAGAAGGAGAGAAGGTAACCTTACAGAAGGGCAAGAGAGGGGGGAATGAACAGATTTTTATCTTCTTGGTACCTCTGCATCTCAAAAAATCTCTACTGTAATAAAGTCTGTGCTAGAGCTGGAGTGTCATTGACTGCATTCTTGCCTTCAAGAATGGCCTTTAATCCCTGTGTTCTCAACTATTCCTCTTTTGTTCGTGGTTAATGAGGGCAGCCTTTTCAGTTCAAACTCACTACAAATGGACTGGAATATTGATGGATCATGATCATTCAGAAAACTGGTTTTAAAAGTAATGCCAAGTTCATGTCTTGGGACCTACCAAAGCTCATCAGAATGTAGTGTATGGAGAGTTGTGAGCCAAGAGAATAATAGCCATTCAACTACATTATGTCAGCTGTCAGAGTTTACTCAAAGAGGAATGAAGAATATAAATGCTTTCTTCAGCTAGTGGGCTTTTCTCTCCCTTTAAAGCAGAGAAATGGGTAAATGTACTCATTAGTTTTAAGGTTTAGGAATAATTCTCTGAGGCTTGGTGCTCTGTTCTCCTAGCCCAGCAGGGCAGTGGCCCTGACCTGATGAGTTGCAAACTTACTCTAGAGCAGTGGCTCCTTCTTTGGAAATAGAGTCACTGCAGATGAAATTAGTTCAGATGAAATCCTACTGGAGTGGAGTGTGTCCCTAATCCAATAGGACTGGCATCCTGATAAGACGACAGCGTGTGAAGGTGGAGACACAGAAGGTGGAGACACCATGTGATGGTGAAGGTAGAGATCGGGGTTATGCAGCCGCATGCCGAGCAATGCCAAAGCTTGCCAGCAAACAACCAGAGTAGGAGACAGTCCAAGCATTCTCTACAGGTTTCAGAGGGAGCATGCCCCATCGACGCCTTGATTTGGGGCTTCTAGCCTCCAGAGCTATGAGACAATACACTTCTGTTGTTTTAAGAGACCCCATATATTGTACTCTGTTATGGCAGCCCTAGGAAGCTAGTAGAGTTATGACATAGCAAAAAAACCAGTTTCCCACTATTAAAAATGTTCAAGCCGGATAGATCAGGCAGATAACTGAGGTGACTTATGCATCAAATGGCAAGTTATATTGAATGGTCTCTGTTGAAGTCTTGTCAAATAGATGTTGGCCACTTCCTTTTCATCTTCTGCTTCAATAGAGGGCATCATATAATGGCATAGCACGGCAGATACGAGTTAAACCTAATCTCTAGCACTTATAGCTATATGTCCTTAGGTAGGTTTCAGAACTTCTCTAGCCTCAGTTAAATATGAATATTAATAGTCATCACTTCATAGTGTTATTATGAGGTTTAAACTAGTTAGTAACTTAAACTGCTCTACTTAGAAGAGTACATGGCAATAGAAAGTAATATAAAAGTGTTGGTTGGGAAAAAAAACCCACACTTGCTTTCACATTGGTTAAACAGAATGCATTAACACTTTCTTTCCATCACTGCTATTTCTCACCTCCAAAATATGGAGAATTAAGAGAACTTGGGGGGGGGGTGTCAACCGGGGAAAAGGAGACACATTTAATACTTTAAACAATAAAAAAATAAAAAGAAAGAACTAGAACTGCTTTCTTTTAAAATATTGTGGGGTTTGGGGTTTTTTTGGGGGGAGGGGTTTGGGTTTTTGGTTGATTTAAAATTATACCACTTGGACCATTTATTAACCAAGTATCAGTGGCATGATGCTTCTGACAATTTCCTTATAACAAGGCTTGATAATGTGTTAGTCCATGCTAGGGTGGGTTTGTGCAAGAGAGGGGGGGGGGGGGGAGAGAGAGAGAGAGAAAGAGAGAAGAGAGAGAGAAGAGAAGAGAGAGAGAGAGAGAGAGAGAGAGAGAGAGAGAAAGAGATTGAGATTCAAGTGTTTCTGAGAAACAAATAATTCTGCAGCATCATTTTCAGATAATAAAAAACTACAGTTCCCCCTAATGAAGTTCACTTGAGTTTGTGGGTCCTAGGGTGATGGAGTTAGATAAAGATGTGAAGTTTTTTTGCAAAATTAAACCCTGGGAAAAGTAACCCTATTAAATTAGCATCTGTTGGTGACTGAAGGGTAATTTCAGCTTCAGGAGCTAGCGAAAGCATTTTTCAGTATATGACACTCTTAATAAATGATACATAATTGTCAAAAAGAAATCATCACTCAGTGCCTTAAATTTAACGAAATGTGCTTTTGTTTCTTCACTGTATAAAGTTACTAATCACTGCATCATGTGGGTGCATCGGAGACAGTTCTGGCAGGTTAATGATACCCCAGGCAAATCCCCAGTTACTTTCCGTGAAACAAACCATCAATAAATGTGGTAGCAGTGCTTGCAACTATATAATTCTGAAGTCGGTGATTATGTAACTGTTGGATATACAGACAGAGGGAGGGCAGAGGCTCAAGGCCTGGTTGTTCCTTCCATAAAGAGCAAGTCGGTGAGATAACGCAGCTCTTATACATCAGTGTATACTGAAAGGCAATGAGGCAGGCTCAGCTGTGAAAGCCTGAAAAGTATGTTTGAGTTAAGGTGATGTTTAGGGGCCATGAAGAGTAATAGAAAGAAGGATTGCATTTCTAGAATTTATATGGGCTTTGTTATAACTCCTTCATTTTCCCCAAAGAAGGTGATCAGTGTGGTGAAAGGTCAGTTCTTCGCTTGGTGTTTAATTCCAGTTCTTCTGCTTTATGAACCATTTGCCCTTAGACAAGTTCCATGAATTCCATGTCTCAATTACCTCACGTTGGTCATGATGGCCTCTCTTTGGGATTGTTATCCAAATTCAATGACCTCAGCATACAAGCCATCTCGCTCAGTGTTTGGCAATAACAGGAGCTAAATATTTGTTGACTTTTGTCTTTGAAGCCTCTTCATCTATTGAAGTTCCAGACACAGCGTTTGAGATCAGATAAGGGGAAACGTCACGGATGAGACAAACGCTGCAGTTCACTGGAAATAACTAGCTCCTAATTCAGCTCAATTCAGTAAATATTCCTTGAATATCTACTACACGTTGAGCACTGAGGGAACATCAAAAAAAGTCAAAGGTTGTTCTATAACTTCTGGGAATCATAATTCAACATGAAGTAAAAGTTAACACAGCTCTTTGATCCATTGAGAATTCTCTTGCAAGGCAAGTGAATTGATTTTAAGTATATATTCAGCATTCACACAGATTGATGAATTCAATGAAAATTCAGCACAACCTTAAATTATCTTTCCTTTGCAATATTTATTTGTGGACTTTATAAGAATATTAATTAGCTTGACAGTGTTTCTTCATGAGTATCTATTTTGTTTCTTTGTTTAGTTTACTGTCTTACTCTCTCTGGGCTACTATAACAGAATACCATAATCTGGATGGCTTACAAATGATAGAAATTTATTTCTCACAATTCCAGAGGCTGGAAAGTCCAAGATCAAAGTGTTGGCACATTCGGGCCTGGCGAATGACCACTTCCTAATCTATAGACAATAGACTTTTTGCTGAGTCCTTACAAGTAGTCAGAGATAAGGACACTAATGCCATTCACGAGGGCTCCATGCTTATGATGTAATCACCACCCAAAGGCCCACCTCCTAATACCATGACGTTGAGGGTTAGGACGTAAGCATATGAATTCTGGGAGGACACAAGCATTCAGTCCGTAATAGTTACCATTCCTTTTTCTTTCCAAATTAGTGTGTGTGGCAGTGTGGAAGAACCACCACATGAGGACGGTGACCAACTACTTCATAGTCAACCTTTCTCTGGCTGACGTGCTCGTGACCATCACCTGCCTTCCAGCCACACTGGTTGTGGACATCACTGAGACCTGGTTCTTCGGAAATTCCCTCTGTAAGGTGATTCCTTACTTACAGGTAATTGTTTCTGATACATTTTTGGTTCAAACACAGAGCTACGGAAAGATTACTTTCAATTATAGTCACAGTGCTCTATTGACTAGTTAGCTAAGAAAGTAATATACTTGCCCAAGGAATTGACAAATAAGGAAAACAAAGGAATCAGCAAACTTAAGGAAAGAAATACTTGAGACCTTCCATGTAAACAAGTTAAGCTCTGAGTTAAAATAAAGCAACAGAATGAGTAGATGCTGCGTAAACTTTTATTTCTTTCACCTCTAATTTTCTGATGATAAAATGAGGAATATGAGCAAAGTAATGATTGAAATTCTCCCCGTCCAAATAATAGACAGATACTTGTTTTTATAAGTGGTTGCATTTCATGCTGAGAAATTAGGAACCATGTGATCAAAGCAGTACAGTAAACAAGTTTTAGTGTAGGTTCTGAATAAAACCACCAGGTTTGGAATATCTGTTCTGCCATTCACCGACTGTATGCTATCAAGCCAAATACATAAGCTCTTTGTGATTCACTGATTTAAAAAGGATAATACTTTTAATTATAACTATAGTCTATGGTTGTTGTTAGTCTACTTACATAAATTTATATAAATCACTTGGCATAGTGATTACCTTCTGAAGGATATTATAAAGACTTAGTATGTTCTCAGTAACCATCAGTCATCATCATCATCATCATCATTAGATGCTTTATTGTTCAGTAGTAAAAGCAGCTTTCCCACGATTAATTGCCCTACAAGAAGATAAGAACAAATACTTTCAGAGAGTACATTTTAAATGATATTCTGATAGCTCTAAATCTTTAACAAAAAAAATTCCTAAGCTAGGGGCCACAGCCATAATACTCAAAGACATGGATGCCCTTTAGCAATTGGGCTGTGAGTAAAATGCGGGCCATTCTCTTTGTGTTCCCAAACCCCTTACCCATATCCATCCTCCACCATCTCAGTTCGTACTCCATCCAGTCTCCCAGAGGGTGATCATAGTATTTGGAGAAAACAAAAATGTGCTCCTAATTATAAAAAAAAATTCTCATAAGCAGAACAAGCAAAAATATTAATGTAGACACAGACCTTACACCCATCAGAAAAAGTAGTTCAAGATGTATCATAGATCTGAATTTAAAATACAAAACCATAAAACTCCTAGAAGATAATATAAAAGAAAACTTAAATGACCTTCAGTATGTTGATGATTTTTTAGATACAACACCAAAAGCATTATATTTGAAAGAAACAACTGATAAGCTGACTTTTTCAAAATTTAAAACTTCTGCTTTGTAAAAGACAATGAAAAGACAAGCTACAGATAGAGAAAATTTTTGTAAAAAGATAAACATAAAAGTACTGCTATGTAAAATTAAGGGAATTCTTAAAACTAATTAATAAGGAAATAAACACTCCAATGAAAAATAGGCCAAAGACCTTAACGAACACCACACCAAAGAAGTTATACAGATGGCAGAGAAGCATCTGTAAAGATGCTTATCTTCATACGTCATCAGCGAAATGCAAATTAAAACAACAAAATATCACTACACAACTGTTATAATGGACAAATTCCGGAACACTAGCAACACCAAATGCTGGTGGCGGTGTGGAGTAATACTAACTCTTATCCATTGCTGCTGCTGGGAATGCAAAATGGTACAACCACTTTAGAAGATGGTTTGGTGGTTTGTTGCACAATTAAACATAGTCTCACCATATTATCCAGCAATTGAACTCCTTGGTATTTCCCAAGGGAATTGAAAACGTACGCCCACGCAAAAACTTGCACACGAATTTGTATAGCAGCTTTATTTATAATTATCAAAACTTGGAAGCCACCAAGGTGTCTGTCCTTCAGTAGATGAATGAATAAATACACTGTGGTACATACAGACAATAGAATGTCATTTAGCACTAAAAAGAAATGAACTACCAAGCCATGAAAATATAAAGATAATCCTTATTACTAAATGAAAGAAGACAGTCTAAGGAGACTAACTATATTCTGTATAATTCCAATACTATGGCATTCTGAAAAAGGCCATTATGGAGAAAGTAAAAAGATCTGAAGTTGTCAAGGATGGGAAAGGTGGAATAGGCAGAACACAGGATTTTTAAGGCAGTGCAGTCTATATATATAAAAAGCCAGCGACTGTAACGCCAGAACGACTGGAACCACCAGTCGCTATGATGCCCACTGTGGCCAGCGAACAGCCTGATCTGAGGGTGGGGCCGGCTGGCCAACCTCCTGCAGCCCCTCCCCCGGCCGGTCCTGCCCCCAATGGGCTCCCACCACCCCAATCGGTCCACAGCCCCTCCCCCCAACCAGCCCCACCCCTGATTGGCCTCTCCCACCCCATTGAGGGCAGGGCAGCCGGCCAACCTCCCAAAGCCCCTTCCCCAGTGGCTGACCCCCAATCGGCCCCTCCCCCCAGCCAGCCCGGCCCTGCTTGGGCCCTGATTGGGGTGAGCTCACCGGCAACCTCCCGCTACCTCCTCCTCCTGACAGGCCTGGCCCCAATCCACCAATTGGAGCCAGGCCAGCTGGACCCCACCCATGCACGAATTTGTGATAATATATAATGGTGGATACATGTTCTTATACATTTATTTAAAACCATGGAATGTACAACATCAAGAGTGAACCACAATGTAAACTATGAACTTTGGATGATTAGGATGTGCAATGTTGTTTCATCAGTTATGACAGATGTATCACACTGGTGGGGGTGTTAATAACAGACAGGCTATGGATATGTGGGGGCAAGGTATATTGGAAATCTCTGTACCTTCTCCAAAATTTTGATGTGATCTTAAAAGTATTCCAAAAAAAATAAAGTCTTGATAAATACAAAAGTTGGGGGAGACTACAAATAGCTCATTAGTAGAAATTATACTAATTTGGATCTGAAATGCTACAAAAATATTTGCAACCCAGTAGTTTTTCAATGACCTCTTATACAGAGAAGTGATCATTTTTTAGGTCAGATTCTCGATAGAATAGTAAGTGGGAAATAGTAAGTGGAAATTATAAGCTTCATGGCAGGCATTAAGTTTGATAGGATTAGTTTGTGTCAGTTGGCTGAAAACCATGAAAGGGTTACAAAAATACACTGCAGCAAAATTATTTCAGAGAAATACTACATTGAGCAACATAAGAAAAAATCAGTAAGAAAGGGGTCTTTTGGTGTTTTCGTGGAAACACAGGGGAAATCATACTAGCAGAGAATTCTAATATTTCACCATTGCTGTGGTACTTCCAGCAAGCTTTGTATTTCTCTTGATTCCAGTAACTATCTGGGGAGAAATTTGGGGAATCCTATTAAGTTTCAAGATGGCTTTAGTTGCCCAGAGTCTTCTCTTTGCTGGGAGAGATAATTCCAAGCTCTCTTTATGAAACAGAACAGTCGCTTGTTAAGAGTGAGGTGATGCGTGAGGTGTGTATCATGCGGTAATAGGTGCAGTCCTGCTCTGATACACAATGGCCCCTTGTTGTAGACTAGGTATTCCAGATTCTACTAACACTCGAGGACTGACTGGAAGCAGTGGGAAACAGTGAGTGATGCCAGGTATCCGTCTCTCTGAAAGTCATGGACAATAATCTTCTACACAGCATAACTTACCAAGTCCTACAGTTGAAGGAATAGTCACCTCCTAATAGATTCTGCTTCTCTATAAACAGTGTCCAATCTAATCAACCCCTCAGTTGATCCTCTTCTCCGTAGGCTGAGGAGACAACTACAGAGTAACCACAAGATCTGAGTCAGATGGAAAAGACCAGATCTATTCATTACCTCATTCAATATTACCTGTTTGTTTGTTTGTTTGTTTACTATATTTTTATTGACTTCAGAGAAGAAAGGAGAGGGCGAGAGAGACAGAAACATCAATGATGAGAGAGAATCATTGATCAGCTGCCTCCTGCATGCCTCCTACTGGGGATCGAGCCCGCAACCCAGGCATGTGCTCTTGACCAGAATCAAACCTGGGACCCTTCAGTCTGCAGGCCAATGCTCTATCCGCTGAGCCAAACCAGCTAGGGCTCAATATTACTTGTTTATGGAAAGTTGCAAATCCAAAAAAAATATTGACACACTGGTAAAACTAGTATCTCCAAATTCTCACATTATTTATTACTCACTTTCTGTAGCATTTTCCCAAATGGAATAAACAGTGTCAATGGTCAATAAGCCAATAACTTAAATTTAAGTAGTTTTTTTCTTGAATTATAATATTCTGAAACTGATGGCTTTTGCACCTAAGAGGATACTTTTGTCCTACTGAATATTTTAAAATATATTACAGAATGCCCAGCCAGTTTTTAAGATTATTTTGTTATGTTTAAGATTCTTTGGACATTTGCTAATTCTCTATAATATATAGGTTCCTTTTCTTCTAAATATAATACAATGCAACCTTTAGATTTATGAATGATGTACTATAACACTTTGGCAAATGCTCAAAAATCTTTAAAATCTCACAAATATAACGAGTCTTAGATGAATAATTAAAATGACATTTTTATATCTTTAATAATTATACAAATATAAGACCATTAACATTTATTAGGCTAGTTGATGAATAATTATGATGATTTTTAACAAATTATATATATAATTTATTTTTTTCTTGAACTTACAGTTTCTTTTTCTGAGTGATTATTTTTTAATATATTTTTTATTGTTGAGAGTATTACAGATATCTCCAATTCCCCCTTTTTTCCACCCTCTTCCAAGTCCCTCCCATCCCCCCAAGTCGAAGTGATTATTTTTTATGAGCACAGAAAAGGTTCTGCTCAGGAAATGCCAGGAAAAAAACAGAAGCCAATAGAGATGTGGGTTGTGGGTGCTTGATGGTCAGACAGGCTCCTTCACTCACAGTCACACATTCCCACCTTCCAATCTGTTAGCGCCTGTCATCCAAATCTGTGATGTGGCAAAATTTCCACTTCTACCTGTCATGGATCTCTGAGGTCCTTTTGTCATTTCTATGTGCAAATATAAAACAGATTCATTCTCTACCCAAGAAAGCTTCCAGCATCACCCTGACCACAGGATGCCCACAGGAAGAGTGAATGACCAAGCACCTGACAACAGAAGAAATTCACATCATCTCACTTTACTTCATTCTCAACATTCGTAACCCCCCCCCCCCCAGGTTCATTTTTCAAATGATTAACAATTTGGTTAATTTGAACTAATATCAAAATCTAAATGGAAAAGGCACCCAGAAGAGCACTCCTGGAAGTGAAAAGCAGCAACAAAACTCTTCATTTATAATCTCTTATGATATGAAGAAATTTTATATCCCCCCAAGAAAATCAAGTAAATTGAATGCTAGTGTGTATAATACACCAATAAATATAGTCATCAAACAGCACATATTAAATCACTGATTGTCAAGGGTCCATTCAGGGGATTCTACTGCTGGATCAGACATACTACTAGTAGCAGCATAGTCTCTCACACAGTGCCCGTAACAGAGAAGGCACTGCCTGCCCATGGCTAACTGTAGGCACCGGGTGGCAGTCTTTCAGTGAATTTTTTTGAATAGATTATTACTATCTAAAAGTAGAGAGAAACACTAGCAATGACTCTGTAATTTGAACCATATTATGTCTAGCTCTTTCACCCACATTGATTAGAATTCATGAATAATAAATCACTAAACCTTGTTGAACATTTTACACTTCTAATTTCTTGATTGGCTAAATATAGCCCTGGCACAGCAGTTGTGAAAGGTCAACTGTGCAGATCAAGACCATAACAATTCTACCCCCAATTTAGCAATAGTATTGAGGGGCCTTGGGTGCTTGGCATATTGGCAGGGAAGTAATGGCGGCTGGTAAAAGAAAGGGATTGGTTTGGGAAAGAGGTTTGTATACACTCTAAGTAACACCAAGAAAATTCCCAGGAGTTATCAACTAATCTAAGCCTACTCTGATAGAGTTTAGCCCTTTAAGATTATGGCTATAAGGTGAAAATAGAGAATTTTCCAGTTCAAATTAAACATATGTGTTATTTTTTCCAGTTGAGGATATGATTTTCTGTGTCAGTGGAAAGTTTCAAGACAATATAAGGATAATAATCACTCAAAGACTGCCAGATTATAAATTAAAACATTTTGCCTGAAAAAAGTTTGCAATGTTTTCATTGTACCTTTTTTATGCTTAATAAGAAATATGATTTTTTTCCTAAAACATGTTTAATATTATTTTTGGCAGATATTTTTCTTAATTGGAAAGCACTGCATGGAATGTTTTTTGGACAATTTTAGGTATGGTTATTTGTTGTGACTGCCTTTCTAATAAGGTAAAAATATTCAGAGTGATCCATGTAATACCGGGTGCCTCTCTCTCTTTTACTCTGTCCTTTCTCTAGACCGTGTCCGTGTCGGTGTCTGTCCTCACACTGAGCTGCATTGCCCTGGATCGGTGGTATGCGATCTGTCATCCTTTGATGTTTAAGAGCACAGCCAAGCGGGCCCGGAACAGCATCATCATCATCTGGATTGTCTCCTGCATCATAATGATCCCTCAGGCCATCGTCATGGAGTGCAGGGCCATACTCCCCTCATTGGCCAATAAAACCACGCTCTTCACAGTGTGCGAAGAGCGGTGGGCAGGTAAGTGCACCATGGCCCACAAGCTGACATGTCTGTTACAGCTGCACACTGGTAATGTCAGTTGCAGAGCCACTGGAAAGCTGGCCTTGTGTATTTTATGGCCGTTTGTTCATAGTTTTGTAAAAGCATGAAAACCAAGTGGAAACCTAAAGTAGTTTCACAGAATAACTGCCCCTGTCCTGGTCCTTTAGAAATGCTATGTATGGTTATCTAGTTTTCAGATGGGACATGGAAGGAGGAGTTTATTCCGCAATTCAGATCTGGTTATGTTACCTTTTCTTAAATTCTCTAAAATGAAAAGGACTCATTTACATGAATTGAAATATGCATTCTGGAATGATTCGTATTTTATAAGATGGCACAGGATTATCTGGCCTCAAGTGTCAAGTTCCCCAATGGGCTTCAAATACGACTGGATTTTTCATTTGAAAACCATGTGCTAACTGGACACCTGGCTGGAGTTGAGTACGTGGACAAATGCTGTTCTCTGTGTCAAAATATCTAAGTTTGCTTTCTCTGTTCATAACATATTAAACCAATGCAATTTATCTCTGGCACAATTATGACATAATTTAGGAATTATATGAAATATGAATCCTTTTCCCTCCTATCTGATATATAAGGTATTTCATTTTAAATAAGCAGAAGCTTAGAGGTTTATGGTCCTTGGTCCAAAACTTTCAGTGACAGTCTAAGGCTTTCCTGTAACAGTGGAAACACTTTAATCAGTGCCGGGTGATGACACAAATCTGAACCCAGCAAAGAATGACTGGAAATTATAAAAATCCTGCATTTTAGCATAGCATGCACTAGTTCCAAAATTATTGCATGAAATTTGAGGGGGGAAAATCTGTCCTCTTCTGAATAAGTGTATAACAATGGCTTGTAATTACGGAATTTAAACATTAGGAAAACACTGTTTATTAGAAAGCTATACATGTATGCCTATTAGAAAGATGTACCCCAAAACAAGCAGTGCACCCATGAGATAGCTTGTGAATATGATATTTTCAAGTATTTGAATTAATTTATGTTAATTCCTACCCGGGTACTTTATTGGAACACTGAAAAGAGAAAAAGTCAACAACTGAGAAATTAGGCATATGCTTTCCCTATTGCAAGATAAAGTTTAAAAGTCGCTACGATTATGTTGTACATTTTCTAAAGTCCTATGATAGCTATATTTCACAATTTGCTCTTTCTATTACCCCAATTATTAAATATAATTTTTGTTGCTGAGATTTACTCTTCTAACATTTGGACAAAATTTACAGAGGGGCTAACATTTCAGCAATGCGTTAAAGTTGAGCAGGATTTCTTCAGACAGGGAAGAGGTAAAGGATGTCCCAGGAAGCAAGAAAACCTACACAATGGGCAGAAGAAAGGAAGAGGGTCCCAACTGACAGTTTCAGGAATGTAGGGCTATGTAGATTTATGAATGAATTGTAGTTGAATAGAAAGTGGGTTGGGGCCCATTGGTATGTGCCTCTTATGCAATTGCTTTATAATGAGTTACATTTGCAAACATCCTAAAAATCTCTTGGTCAGAATTCTTTAATTAATTCATGATGAAACTGAACCATAAATTCTTTGGTCAGTATTATGAAGCAAACAAATAAATGTAAATCTAAGCTTTCAGTTCAAAGTTGATATTTTTTAATTTTATGGAAATGGTGATTAGATAAAACACCCACTCACTATTCATTATGTGTCAATTAGATAAAACACCCACTTACTATTCAAATATTTAATAGTATTTTTACTAAAGTATTTTAGGAGTTTCATTTATAAGTTAATAGGCAGTTTTTATAAACTTTTCCTTATGTATATTGCCCTGAATAATCAGGTAATGTTAATTCCCATTAACAAACAGTGTGCAAAGGCAGTGAATTTTGACAGTTGTTACAATTAAGTAAATAGCCACATCATCTTCTAACTATGTTTGAGCAATACATATATAAAACTCATTTCAACCTTGAGTATTTTTATTATCTAGCTCTAGCAAGGACATTTTCAAAAATATTTTTTTAAAGAGCAATTATTGTTGAGTTCCTAAAAATCTAAACTCAGCCTTCAGAAGTCATTTAGGAAAATTACTTAAAAGTGATTTTATAGCCCTAACTGGTTTGGCTCAGTGGATAGAGTGTCAGCCTGCAGACTGAAGGGTCCCAGGTTCGATTCTAGTCAAGGGCATGTACCTTGGTTGTGGGCACATCCCCAGTGGGGGGTGTGCAGGAGGCAGCTGATCGATGTTTCTCTCTCATCGGTGTTTCTGATTCTCTATCCCTCTCCCTTCCTCTCTGTAAAAATCAATAAAATATATTTTTTTAAAAAGTGATTTTATATAAGCCCATAATTACTTAAAATTATTATAAAGGCTAAAATTAAGTGGCTCCAAATTGAATTTGATCATCTTTAAAAGCAAATAATAAAATCTAAAAAATTAGCTATTTCAAATCCTATATAATAAAAGCCTAATGTGCTAAGTGTCCGATCGTCCGGTTGGCCATTCAACCAATCAAGCATAATATGCTAATGATATGCTAAGGCTGCTCAAACGCTTGGTATGACATGCACTGACCACCAGGGGGCACATGCTCTGAGCAGTAGGTTAGCTAGCTGCTGGGGTCCAGCCGATTGGAACCGAGCAAGATGGACCAGATACACCCTGGAGCTCTCCCATAGTCCCTCCCCAGCTGGCCAACCTCCCGTGTCCCTCCCCAGCCCTGATCATGCACCAGTGGGGTCTCTCAGCCTGGCCTGCGCCCTCCCGCAATCCAGGACCCCTCAGGTGATGTCGGAAAGATGGTTTCGGCCCAATCCCGCAGGCCAGGCCCAGGGACTGGTCCACGAATTTGGTAATATTTTCAGTATGACAGAGTTCTCAGTTATTTTGCACAATGAATGAGACAGACAGTATTAAATGAAATTATTAATCACAATTTTTCAAGAAGAATCTGAAAGAATCCAAAGTAGGTTTTTATTTTGCTCACTAGACATTTAGTTTATGATAATTTTTACATATCATGAGCTTTGCCAATTTAGGCTATTTATAAGTCCATATTCAACTTAAAATGTTATAACTCAGATATATGTATGATACTTACAACCTTAAAAACATCAGAGGAATTATATTTTACATTGTCAGCTCTCTAAAGTTTAAACATTTTAAAAATCTGAAGGCCATTTTGCACAATTTTAAAAAATGTGTTGTGAACTGTGGTTTTTCTCTTTATCCTAAGTTATATCAGTAATGTAGTTATAAAAGCAGACAGTGATATCATAATTGTTTTACAACCAATATTGCAGTGTGAAAAGAGACAATAAACAATGTGGTCTCTTGATTCATATCTATCAAATAACCTTTGGAAAAGTCTGGAAAATGCTTTCTCATTCATTGTGCAAAATAACTGAGAACTCTGTCATACTGAAAATATTACCGGAAAGATGTGATATTTTATGGAAGTCATTATAGTCATCATTTCCTGTGCCTTGATGAGAAGAAGAAAAAACGACCACAAGCTGGAACTTTTGGTAGGCACATTTGACACTCAAAAACAAACAAAATGTATTAATATTTATTTTAATGATCTTAAAATATGTATTTGTATATGTTCATTGTTTGCTTCAGTAACATCAATTCACATTTCTAAAACTTAAAAATTCTTCCAGAATTATACCCATACGTTTTTGATTGATTGGTTTATAAGTGCATCGTTTCACAGGATGAATCTATTGGGAGGAAAGCAACTTTCTTTTTGTACTCAGTGATATAATTGTCTCATTATTCAATCATCCAGTGTTTAATGAGCAGGCACTATTTGTCAAACATCGTTCTGGACACTAGGAATATATAATTCTCTCCTTTTGGATTTTATTGCCAAATTGCTCTTTAATGGTCTGAAAAAACATAATAGTGGATCTTTTCTTTACAGCCAAATCCATGATAGCATCTGGTTTTTATGAGATTTTGAAAATCTATAAATATGTATGTATATGTATTAATAGGAACATTTATTAAAATATTTATTAGGCAGAGGTTACTAAAATATATTAAAGATTCAGGTAAACTTTAATGGATCCATAAACTTTGATAAGGTGGTTCAAATTAAATATTTGGGAAATTATTTTTAATTTACTTGCCATTAAATCCCTGATAGGAGTACTATGAAGTAGAAAATGTTTTTAGTTTTTAGATAATTAGATTAACATGTTGGCTCACAAATGGACCTTAACTCATCTGAAAGAAATTAAGTTCTCCTTAGCCAGTCTGGCTCAGTGGTTAGAGTGTCCACCCCCAGACTACCGGGTCCCAGGTTCAATTCTTGATTGCAACCAATCAATGTTTCTGTCTCTCCCCCTCCCTTTCCAGTCTCTCTCTAAAAAAAAAAATTAAGTTTTGTCTAATATATGATATTATTCTTTAATCTCTGATTTTAAAGCTGAAATAAATATCCATATTTGTTCCTTATTTATTGGTTTAATATGTATGCAAGAATTTATTCAGATATGCCTATTCATCAGTTGAGTAGAAACCCCAATTTTTAATGGCTGTCAATCTTCAAAATGCTGTTTTCTAACTTAGATTATTCTTTAGTTGGACAAGTTCCATGTAGCTACATTCTAGGTTATATATAAATGTTTTAAAATATATTTAAGACATTGCTCGTCAAGTGCAGAGAGACTACAAAGACAATTTCAACACAGACAAGTTAACATTTCCATGGTATTTCTGGGTTTCCAATCAGCTTAGACTCTAAGCATGAAATGAGGAATTTAAGATTATCATGTTACCCCAATTATGTATAATAATATCTTTATTAAAACAAACTATCCCAGCCTGAAAGTATAATTTTGCTTGATCAACTTTTCTGTGTGGGTGTTCATTAGCATAATATGCATTTACCAGCCAATTACATCTTTTCCCAAGTATTTATATAAATATACCGACCTCTGAATGAGCTTTCTCTCCCATCTGTTTAAAACTTCAGACTGTTATCACAGTGATGGGAACCATAGCTATAGTAAAAAAAAAAGAAAAAAAAAGAAAAAAAAAGCCTATTAAAATCTACCTTCCTCCACTTACTCAATTCATTTAGTCTGATGCAGACATCAAGGCCTCTCAGGTATGCGAGCTTCAAAGCTATATCTTTATGTGGGGAGCTCATGGGACACCTTCTTTAAAACAAACAAAAGTTCAAAGCCACTTAGGTGCCTGGAAAGTGCTGAGATCACTGTTCTTTGAAACTGGCTCACCAAATGCTGCTGGGGCTGTGGCGCTTCAAAGGGAATGGCTGTTTGTTATTCCTCCAGTCCGGCTGCTTGGGTTCTATCACTTTTTATGGAACTGGCCTGTTTTACAGGATAAGCTTGAAAGGGAACTAGAAACTGATGAGCTAGGTGTCAGCCGCTTGGGCCACAGAGAAGCTAAAAATGACTCGTTGCACTCTTAGACTCCTTAACCGCACACACCCCCTGCTGTCTCCTCTGAAGATTGTGGTAGGGAAATATTTCTATCAGAGAAAAAAGACTGAGATTTAGAAGGAAGAATAAGGAGAATATTAAACTCAACCAACTCTAGAAGATAAGGCTATGAAATCAAGTGGAGGATATTGAACTCAAAGATATGTCTAAAATATATTCAGTAAGAATTGAATGATTGTTCAGTAAGTGTTATCATTAGGATGGTGATCATCACAATTATTATTTGTTGATCCTGACTATAAATTGCCCTTACCACATTTGATGGCATACCTGAGTCTTCATGCTTCTATACAATATGCCCATTTTTAAGTAATGAAAATTTTAAAAAATGCACAGAGGTGATAGAATTATCCCTCAATGATAGTATGGAACCAACCCCATTGTCAATATCAAAGACAAAATGACTTGTGTAATTTTTAGAAATGAATTAAAAAAAATAAAACCTTTGTTTTGTTAGCTTTTAGTTAGAATTATTTCTAATTTTTGCATTTAATATCTATGGAACCTATGCAGGATATTTTTCTGGTTTTTGTTTTATATTTAAGTAAAAGTGACTGGATCACTGTAATATATTCAAATACTACTGTAAGAAAAATATCCTTTAAAGCATTTAAAAAAATCAGTAATATATTTATTTTAGGAAAGCAAAATAATCTCTCTATATAAAAGCCTAATATGCAAAGTGTCCCCTCAGGAGTTCGACCAAACAGGAGTTTGATCACTCACTATGATGTGTACTGACCACCAGGGGGCGGCGTTAAACAAAGGAAGGCCCCAGCCAGCAGCCACTAGGGATCCTACCCATGCATGAATTTCCTGCACTGGGCCTCTAGTAATAACGTTAATAATAATAATAATAATAATAATAATAATAATAAGCCATAATGACAGTCATTAATTTATTAACTGTTTGTTTAATAAATGCCTAATTTGTGATAAGATTTACTTGTGTTCATAGAATTAATGATAAGTAAGGAATAGTTATACTTCTACAGATGCTTATGACTAATAAGTGAGATGGTTATAAAAAAGAAAATACTCATGTCATTTTAAAAACTAACTTGGCCTGGCCAGCATGGCTCAGGGGTGGAGTGTTGACCTATGAACCAGGAGGTCACAGTTCAATTTAAGGCCAAGGTACCTGGTGGGGGTCATGCAGGAGGCAGCCTATGGATGATTCTCTCTGATCATTGATGTTTCTATCTCTCTCTCCCTCTCCCTTCCTGTCTGAAATCAATAAAATATATTTTTAAAAAACTTATAAAAATACTAACTTTAAAAATCCCTTAAAAATCTCATTTTTATTAAAAGTACATGCATACATACATACATACATACACAGCATACTTAATTAATTTTGTATGTGTTCTAGTAAATTAACAAAAAGAATTATCAAATGTTTGCTGTATTTATTTTTCCAATTTTTTCCACATTTGAAGGTACAGTTTATATTTTAATAAGGAGGAATCAACTGAGTTTATATTCTCTTGCTATTTTAACAAAAGCATTGGTAATTAGGTTTTGATTGAGTCATGTCCCTTCTTATTAATGTGAGTGTAGGACAATCCAATTTAATTTTTATTAATTAACCCCATGTAATCAAAACAAATAAGGGCTTTCGATAAATGAACACTTGACTGGATAGACTCTGACAGCACAAATTAAGAAATAGCTAATTGTTGTTCCTCTCTGGGTCATTAAATGAAATTAAGACTTCACATTTTGTACATACACAGACTGAATAAATGTGAGTAGTTAATGTAAATTATTGTTCCCCTTTGTGTATAGATGTGCCAGTGAAACTATATAGAAGGTAAATCTCAACAGTAACAAAGTTACCTTTAAAAATATCTATGAATTGTAAGATTTTATTATTTTGACTTTCATTTCAGGTGAAATTTACCCCAAGATGTATCACATCTGTTTCTTTCTGGTGACATACATGGCACCTCTGTGTCTCATGGTGTTGGCCTATCTGCAGATATTTCGTAAACTCTGGTGCCGACAGGTATGTATTTCAAACAATGTCCTTGTGTTTTCTTCAGGATGTGCTTAAAAACAAAATTTAAGAGAGGATGCTTAGCAAAGGATTGTGCATTTTCCTAAAACACTGAGGCTCGCTGGCCCTGGCAATATGTCCAGGCATTTTTTAGAGTGATAGTTATGGAGTGTATTTTATGAACTGCCTTAATGACTTTAAATTTAAACCTCTGTGATTAATTGATTTGATTTTTGTCTAGGACTGATATTATAAATTTTACTTTTGATGAGGAATAACAAATTAAAATTCCATTAAACTTTCCTGATGCATTTTTTATTATATGGGTTAAATATCCAACTTCAAAGATGTTTTTTTTTAGAACAATAGAAGATTCAAGCAGAATTCAGTGTTTTAGAAACTGTTGATAGTGCTGATTTGGGAATACTAAAATTTGTTAGGTAATGTTGCTTTTTCCAGTTTATGTAGTAAATCATCCTTCATCAAACATTTATTGTATTTTTTGTATGCATATCTGATTAAAAGCTAAATGTCTATGTCATTGATGAATTCCTAGCCTACAGAAGGGAGACAGTCAGATACAGAATGAAAATTACCTTAATAAATGTAAGCACAGGGAATCAGAGGAAGACTTAGTGGAGGGGACTCTAAGTCAAAGCAGGTAGCATTTAGGCTAAACCTTGATTTGTAGGATATCACCAAACAACACATGTAGTGGTTTATCAAGGCACAGACAAAGGGTAAAGCTCAGCCTCTTCTATTTGTAAATTGTATATTTAAGTGACATTACTTACAATATCTCTGCCTCTAAATTAATTGCCAGTACTTTGAGCTTACCTGGCTTGTGAAAAGCCATTCCTTCAGTCTGTTTGCTCTGACACATTTTACCCAACTGAAAGAATTTGTTGGGCCACTTTAATTCATTAAAATAATTTCACAAACCTTTTATTTGGTGTTTGTCTGAGGATAAGTCTTAATTGGAATCTTCTTCATCCCCTGTTATTCAAAGCAATTTTCAAGTTCATCTTTTAGTGGTTGGATATGAGCAACAGCTGCATTTGTCAGCCCTGTAGGTCTCATAATTCCAAATGTTCTGTTCCTCTATGTTTGCAAAGAAGTCCTTTCTTTTATGATCTCATAAATTCAACCAGTATCAACACGTATTAGTATTCTGTTCGCCAACCTTTTTAACTAAAGGAACAAATGCATGCCACTGTGAAACATAGGCGGCGATTTTCCAGATCCTAATGATGGTTTCCCCAACACTCTCCGCTGACCACAAAGCCAGTGCCACATATTTTAGGCTGTTTGTTACTGTGATACCCACTTCTTTTTTAAAAAAAATATGTTATTGATTTTTTACAGAGAGGAAGGGAGAGGGATAGAGAGTTAGAAACATCGATGAGAGAGAAACATCGATCAGCTGCCTCCTGCACGCCCCCCACTGGGGATGTGCCCGCAACTAAGGTACATGCCCTTGACCGGAATCGAACCCGGGACCCTTCAGTCCGCAGGCCGACGCTCTATCCACTGAGCCAAACCGGTTGCAGGGGTCCTCAAACTATGGCCCATGGGCCACATGCAAATATAAATATTGTATTTGCTCCCGTTTTGTTTTTTTACTTCAAAATAAGATATGTGCAGTGTGCATAGGAATTTCTTCATAGTTTTTTTTAAAACTATAGTCCGGCCCTCCAACGGTCTGAGGGACAGTGAACTGGCCCCCTGTTTAAAAAGTTTGAGGACCCTGGTTAGGGCATACCCCACTTCTTGATAGCTATTATACTAGTCAGTTTTTATTTGTTTTTTTAAGAGACCCATCACCACAAAGTATAAGGATTCTTTTCTTTTTTTTAATCCTCATCCAAGGATATTTTTTCATTGATTTTAGAGATAAAGGAAGGGGTGGGAGGAGGGAGAGAGAAAGAAGCATCAACATGAGAGAGAAACATAAATTGATTGCCTCCCATAGGCACCCCAACCAGGATGGGACCTACAACCTAGCTATGTGCCCTGACCAGGAATCAAACCCGAAACCTTTTTGGCGTATGAGACGATGCTCTAACCAAGTGAGCAGCCCAGCTGGGGCATATTAGTCAGTTTTTGCTAGGTTATTCAGCTATAGAAAAACAACTCCAAGTATGTGGCTTGTAATAGTAGTTTGTCTCACTCATGTTCCATGCCAGTGGTGAGAATGGGCAGAAACTATGCTCCACTTGTCCACACAATCTGAAGGACCATCACTTCCTGGAACATGCCATTCTGGGACTGAGGGAAAGGGCTAGAAAGTTGGAAGAAATATGTAATATCTCTTAGAATTCTGCTTTGAACTGACATATGTTATGTCTCCCCAGTTTTCAGTAGTCAAAACAAGTCATGTGGTTAAGCTTGACCATGGAGAAGGGAAGTGCCCTTTACTCACAAAGGGCAATGGGTATCGTCTTAGAAGCTGGGGAGTGAATAACTGGAAATGATCGACAAGTCATAAACATAGACTCAAGGCCCAGACCATATGAGTTTCAATCCTGACTCTACAACTTAATAGATGATTTTTGTTAACTACATACTTCCACTTCTGTGCTTCTCTTTCATCATCTTTAAAGTGCGGTTATATAGCATCTACATCACAGTGTTGTTATATTTAATAGATTAATTAATTCAAGTGCCTACTATATGGAAAGTGTTCAATAAATAAAATACTTAAATAGTATATGCTATTATTCAGACTTTTAACTAATTTTGTGTGTATTTCTAAAATAACAAGCACAGGTTGAATTAATGTACTATATGACTACTTTCTTCACTAGATTTCTTTTTGTAGCACTTTTCACTAACATTATAATGACTTTTTTTATTTGTCTATCTTCCTTACTCTACTAAGTTGAAGACAGTACACTTTCACCTTCATCTTATATCCTTCATCTTATATCCTTCCATTAGTACATGCTTAGCCCATATTAGTTGCTCAGTAAATAGTTTATGAGGAAAAAAGTGAATAAAAGAATATATGCTAAAAGAAAATGGTTAGATACAGGAAAACAAGGGGAATCCATTGCCCAGTTATTCATTAAAAGAAAAGGTTCAGAGGAAAATTAGAATTTGAAAATATTCTTGAAGGAGAAAAAATTTTATTGAGCATGTAAGAATAAAAATATTTTAGATTTAGACTGAGATTTAGATAGTGTTAAGAGCATTTTCTGTTCTATCTTTTTACTGGTTAATGTGCATTACACATAATAAGTGCTTATGGTTTATTCATTTATTTACAGATTGACCTAAATTTAAAACTACTTGGGGATACCTGAATCTATCTTGTTCATAGTTGCAACCCCAACAATTAACATGGTACCTTGGCTAAAGAACGTATTCAAAAAATGTCTGTTGAATAATTACATAACTACCAAACCTAGCCAATTTACTTCTTGGTTGTTTAAATTTATAGTGCTCCATTTCTCAAGCTCTAAAATAAGTTCAAAATTGGATTACAAGTTTAGAAATAATCTACATTCTTTTGATGGGTTGTCCTGGTTAGTACAAGCCACATGATTCAGAAGATTCACAGTAAAACTCCTGGGCTGTGAAACTAAAGACATTTACAAAATATATCGGAATAGAATATGGCAAGTCCAGCTGAGTTCACTTTAGCTGCTAAAATAAAGTAAATTAATCCCAAGTGAGTGCCTATATAGAATTCTGCTTGAGCAGCCCTCAGTGTCCAACTGTTAATGTCTATAAACAGAGTGGCAAGGCATGGAGTGCCATAGGCTAAACAAGTGGACCATTAATGAATGCCTGTCCTATTTACTCATATTACAAAGATGCATGGACTCTGTTACATACTTTGGAATTAATAAGTGTAAGTCTATTAGCGCCCAAAGTGTGTGTCCTTGTCTGACTTTTTCAAGACCTTTAAGAATCATTAAAAGAATTATCCAATGCTTTGCTATAATCAATGACTTCAATTCTCTCTTTGACAGTGACTCAAAGAACTCACTCAGTCTTGAAATTCTATAGACTTTTTACTAAAATTCCTCTTTTTAAAGACCTGCTTTATCTTAGTTTACTTGGCCCTGTGTGCATATAAGCATTCTTTCCAGTTCTAGCCCTCACCTATCATAATGCTTTGATCTTAATCAACATGTGGACTCATGTTCACTTATTCTGCAAATATTTAAAAAGCACCTAATATGTGTCTGGTACTCTGTATGGAAATGGAGATGAAATATGATAAATATTTGAGTCTGACACTAAATTTGAACATTCAAAGTTCCTTCCAATTATGAAAGACCTTCCCTTCTCAACTTTTATCAGTCTCTTCTACTTCCCTTGATTCCTCAACCCTCTTCTAAGAGAACTTAATTAATATTAGGTGATGCCAAGGCAATCTAGCATGAAGAAATAGACAGAAAATTGTAATTGCAGAGGCATAATGAAAAGACACTAACTCAAGTCCACACATAGAAAAAAGAGCACCAGTACTGGTAACTATGTATGTAAATATAGAAGAGAGTATAAATGTATTTTTTGTAATTATTTTCTCCTATTTGACTTTAAAAGACAATAGCATGAAGCAATAATTACAAAATTCTGAAGATTCAGCTTACAGTGTATAAAGATGTAATTCAGCCCAGCTGGTGTTGCTCAGTGGTTTGACCTAGAGGAGGCCAGGGTTCAATTCCAGGTGAGGGCACATGCCCAGGGCATGCAGGAGACATCCAATCAATGATTCTCCCTCACATTGATGTTTCTCTCTCTCTCTCTCTCTCTCTCTCTCTCTCTCTCTCTCTCTCTCTCTCTCTCTCTTTCTCCCTCTCTCCCTTTCTCTCAGAAATCAATAAAAATGTATTTTAAAAAGTTGTAATTCAAAGAAGAGAAAGAATGAAACTATATTTGAGAAAAGTTTTTGCAAATTATTGAAAGTAAGTTAGAATTAATCTGTGGTATTTCTCCTTCTCTGTAGAGTATATTTAGCATAATATACTCTAGGTCCATCCATGTTGTTGCAAATG